GATCAATAAATTAAATCAAAAAAAATGTAGTATAATCATGCAAAGTTAATATAACACTGCCGCCTTAATGATGGTCAAAATGTCCGATGACAAAGAGGAAAAACAATCTTAATTCAAATACCAATAACGATTTTGTTTTACTTGTATGGTAATTATGCCAAAAACAACAAAGAGAAAGGCAAATGAACGGAAGTAAGTAAGGACCGGCATTCTACCCTGGAATTTTAAAGAATTATGCTTTAAGCAGAAGCACTGGTTAAACGTCAGGGTCCTGGGAGCTTAGACGGAGGACAGTAATTACTAAAAGCTCAAATCCTCTATGTAGAGGCTTCCTGCAATGCAACTTCTGTTGGCTTTGCATGTTGTGCACAATGATGCTTCTGCACTACAGAGTCACCTTTTTACCTTTAAAATGTCAGAGAATAATGAAAAATGCCTGTTATAATTTCCCAAAGTCCCAGGATTGCAATGCAATTAAGGTTAGAATTCTCAGACACAATACTGCGGACGTATCCTTGATTCATTCACCAAACATGTAACCTGCCGCTTGCTGTGTTGTATGTGTGTGTCTGCAGGTACCGGCGATGTTGTGGCCATAATGATCCCAGAGCCTAAAGGTCGTGAGATTGTGGCTTTGCTGGAGCAGCGCGTTGTGGTCACGATGCACATCACCATAGGAACCCGCAACCTGCAGAAGTACGTGAGCAGAACATCGGTGGTGTTTGTATCCATCTCCTTCATCGTTCTCATGATCATCTCCCTCGCCTGGCTCGTCTTCTACTATATCCAGAGGTTCCGCTACGCTAATGCACGAGACCGCAACCAGGTATGACTGTGTGCTCCTTGTTCAATCAGAGTATAACTCTACAAGCTAATGTGTATCTGTCTAAAAGGGATACTGACGGTGCTGTAGTGCTGTGGTCTTATTGGCCCATGCATTTTTCCATCTGGTGATGGCTCTGTAAGGCTATAAGGAGAGGCCCCAACTAGCAGCTCTAATTGTAATTGTAATGTTATTATGACAGCTGCCCGAGAAGACGTGGCGAACCAGTGAACCATCAACCAATTCAGCTTTCTGGCCGTTTAAACAAACCATGCAAATACTTGCTATTGCCATCTTTATGAATGTCTGCCTCTGACGTTCTTGTGGCGTCTGTTATGACAGTCATTGTGCCTGTTATGATAGGAGCCAGTGCCATGACAACCATTGTTTGTGTTTTCTACATTGAATTATGTTGATTTATGTTTTTTAAAGAATTCAGCCATTTTGAACAAATCTGCTCTCAGTTTATTCCCAAGGCAGCCCAGTCAGGTAAAGCCGTTAAAGCATGTAGGTGTGTTTGATAACTATTAATCTGTCGCCACCTGTTCTTCCAATATTTGCTAGGGTTTTTTTTTTTATTAAACAAGCAACATTTTCCTTAATGCAGAGAAACTGGAAAATAAATCAATATAGTAATAAATGACAAATACCCAATGTGATACCTGCATACTGCTGAGTCACAGACTTTTTTTTGTCCACTATTAAAAACCTGCTGGTGTCTGTGATAAAGTTTTTTTTTTTTATGTCTACAGAGACGTTTGGGAGATGCTGCCAAAAAGGCCATCAGTAAGCTGCAAGTACGCACCATTAAGAAAGGAGATAAGGTAAATGATGTTCCCTTTCCCATAAACTTTAAAGCATGTTTAGCTAAAAAGTAAGTTTAAAAGTATATTTAAAATAAATGTCTTTGCCCTTATTTGAATTATACAGTACTTTTTTGCTATATAGCTATAGTTTAGAATTCATTGGTCTGTCATTTTGCATGTCTTCTATTTCTTTCTTGCCTGTGTTCTGTGTTTTAGGAGACTGAATCAGACTTTGACAACTGTGCAGTTTGCATTGAAGGTTATAAACCCAATGATGTTGTAAGGATATTACCATGCAGGTAATGGTTGTGTGCTTAATCTTTGTTGTACATACTGTAGCTTAAAAACTAGGTGATATTTAACATGATATTTCACTGCATTGTAGTTTCACATGTTTTATTTGTGCACTGCTTTCTTATTTGGTCAGACACGTCTTCCATAAGCACTGTGTAGACCCGTGGCTGCAAGACCACCGTACGTGTCCCATGTGTAAAATGAACATTCTCAAAGCGTTGGGAATCCCAGTAAGGTTCTTTTACATATATACATATTTTATTTTAAGAACATTTAATTGACTGACTAATCTAAATCTAAAGTGCAAAACATAAAAGTAATGAATCCTCATTCTATGCATGAGAGTGCCTTTAAAGACATCTCGCATGTTCCAGCTCAACGCGGACTGTTCAGACGATATTCCTCCAGACTATGAGACATCTGTCGGGGGTGCACCCACCAACCCCATCAGTGGAGCGAGTGAAATCACAGTTAACGAGAGCTCGGTGGTTCTGGATCCAGCTGGAAGAGCAATGATCCTTCAGCAGCTCCACCCTAACGCAGAGACAGAACCTCAGGCAGGAGAGGAGAGCCGCATCATTGCCAGCAGTGAGTACGCATTTCTAACACAGAGTTAATTAACTGACTTTCTGACATATAGCTAGGCTGGAAAGTTGGGACATTAAATTTGAATCCACACAAAGTTGTCACCACCTTCTCCGTGTGTCCTGTGCTTGAAAATAGTTTGGGGCATTGGAAAATTCTGCGGATGAAACAAGATTTTCTGTCCTCCATCCCACAGAGGAAACCAGCTTTTTTAACTGTGTGCTCGTTCTGGTTTTACACCCCTTTTGTTGGTTTTGTCATTAGAGGGTTGAATGGTTTATTCTGAGGTCTAAATCAGGCCAGCAGCCACCTGGTCATTGTTCCCCATTCAGATCCTCTTGTGCAATACAGGAGGGTAAGAATAGTGTTCCCTTTCCAGGATGTCTCAACCTAACCCACATACACTCACATAGCTGTTAAAGTATGTTGTACATTTAAACGTACAATATGTCATTTCTGTTGCTAGAGGGTCTCTCACGTCAAACCAGCAACAAAAGACGGTGTTTGGTGACGTCCTGAAGTATCGTGGGATCATGGGAGTTGTTTCCTTAAACCACTATTGCCGTCATAAATAAATATAAAAAGTCAATTTATGACACCTTCTAGCAGACAACCACAACTCATGCACAAAGGCAATATGACACCATTTACAGGCGAGCTGAGAGATGCAACGTTACCCGAATAAAATTACAGATTTCTCTGAGCTTGAACATTGTTGGAAACATTTGGGATAATGCAGGTACATACCTCAACAAAATATACA